CCATTATCTTTTACTCGCTTCTTCCATTTTGGGTCACGGGGGTCGCTGGTGCCCATGTCCAGCAATCACTGTGCGAGGGGCGGGGTACACCCTGGACGAGTTACAAGTCCATCACAGGGACACATAGAGACAAACAACCATTCACTCTCTTACTCACATCTAGGGACAATTTAGAGTTACCAATCAGCCTAACATGCATGTTTTTGGTCTGTGGGATGAAACTGGAGTACCCAGAGAAAACCCACACATGCACAGAGAGAACATGCAAACTCCACCCAGAAAGACCCCCGGTCCGGGATTAGAACCAGGGACCTGTTTGCTGAGAGGCAGTAGCTTTCCCAGTTGAACCACCGTGCTGCCCTATAAATACAAAGTATATATATAAAATGAAAAAAAAAATCAAAAGAAATAATGTAAAATTAAAATCTAATATAATCTTGATTTTTATATTGAAAACCATATACCATAAAAAAAAATACATTAACACAACACGAACACTAAATGTGAGAAATTTTAGTACACAACAGTATAAATGTAGTACTTTCATTTTGCAAAATGATCTTACCATCACAGCCTCGTTCCACCTGCCCCACCTTGTGGAGGGCATCTGCAATCAGATCAGGGAGTCTCCCATTCAGGTCCACAGAGGCCAAACAGCCCTGGTACCCATCCCGGGATGCAATCAGTTTGGGCAGACTGGTGTACATGTTCTTAGGCACGCCACCGATGTACAGCTCTCCTGCAAAACAAAAACAAATGAGCTCTTAGAAATTGAAAAAGTCATTTTTTTAATTTTTTTATTCTGTACAATTGTTTAAGATAGCGATGTATAGCACAGCCTGGTACATACTAGGTACGTATCCAGTACTCACAAGATACAACTTTGGACAATGATCTGATCAAAACCAGGTAGCCACCAGGTACTTACCACACACATACCAGAGTGTTTTATGTATTGCCACCTTGTTTATGCTTCAAATACATGTGTGCTTTTGGCAGTGATTAAACCTTTGTAAAATTAGTTTACTTATTTTCGTTATTACTGATTCATGGACAGTCGGGTACCACCTTGTCATCCTGTAAATAGTTGGATAAATGGCAAAGTAAGACGTAACGCCTTCGCCATACATTTGGCTCTAAATTCCACAGATTTGAGCCGAGGTGCAACAAAGTCACTATGATCGATCATTATCCACCCCTTGAACAGGAATCCATGATAAGTGGCCAATAGCCTCCACAGCACCACTTACATTATTCCTACAGTTATATCTCAGTGATACATCATCCGATCTGAACCAGATTCATTGTGCGTCTTCAGTGAGCACTTCTAGACACATTGGTATTGTTGTTTAACTTTTGACTCCAGTGCGCCACCTAGATTATTCCAACAGTTATATCTCAGTGATACAACATCTGATCTACACCTGATTTTTTGGTGATTGATCAGTGAGCACTTCTAAACACATTGGTATTGTGGATTCATGACATCACTTAAGCCTCACCCACTTAGAGAAGAAACTGTCGAATATTGGGTGACTCTTCCAGCTTCGCACTGTGTAAGATATTAGACTGAAACTGTGTTCACTAACTGTTGAATAATGCATGACATGTTGAATAGCGTAAAGGAAGTGCTCGTGAAACATTCACAACAAAACAGAAAGTCACAATAACTCCTGTCTGGAAGGTCGGATTTTACCTATACTTGTAAGACCTGCAGCTGGACAAGTACTGACATGGATGGAAGGCGATGTCGAAGATTTGGGAAATGCGCCCCGTGGTGAACGTGTGCAGGATTGGCATGAGAGCGATTGCGATGATGACTGGGTGGAGTAGCTGGAGCTCCCGCAGTCACCGTATGGCCGGAGTGGTGCGTTGCTGCGAGGGCCTTCAATGCTGCTTGCAGCTTTAATTTTCTTTACAATTTGTATTTTTGTTGGATGTAACTGGGACCCTGTGTAAATAGTTTCGTTCCACCTCATGTACCACATATGATATGAATGACAATAAAGACACCTTGAACTTCACCTTGACATGCCTTACAGTTAAACAAAGATGTCACAAACTAAGACAAACTAAGTACTCAGAGGTTTTACGACTGACTGTTTTCAGTCAGAATGAAAACGGTCATATCTCAGCCAAAAATTGGTTTATAAATATGGGAAAAAATTCATAAATATGTCGCTTCGGCCTATACATCGCAGGGCATGTAAATTATGCAAAAAATGTGACTTATAAGGTAGAAAATATGGTAACATAAAATTAATACTTTATATTTTAAATATGAGACACACAAAATGTCATAAAATATTGACACATGCTTTACATTATCCTCTATTTCAGGGTCTCAGTTTCAGGGTGAGTCTCAGTTTAACGTTTGCTTAAAAAATGCACTTTAATGGTCAAGAGCTGCATTTCGCTGGGGTGGTGCAGCTGGTTTGATGATAGGTCCAAGTAGCGAGCAGAACCAAGGTAGTGAGACTATGGCAAGCTGATTATATCATTAAAAGCTGGTGAAGATTCTCAGTCATCCAGGACATGGTAAATTCAAAAAAGTTCAAGAAGAAAACAATGAAGTATAAAGTATAACAAATAAAGTCCAGTTGTTTTTGTCTTGAACTTTTTTGAATTTGTCATTATAGCCACGTTTACCTATTACATGATACAATGGCATGCCATACAGCAACTACTACTTCACTGCCGTCAAGTGGCTGAAAATGGTACTGCTAAAAAAATTCAGTCAGAATGAATGAAAACGGTCATATCTCAGCCAAAAATTGGTTTATAAATTTGGGAAAAAATTCATAAATATGTCGCTTCGGCCTATACATTGCAGGGCATGTAAATTATGCAAAAAATGTGACTTATAAGGTGGAAAATATGGTAACATAAAATTAATACTTTATATTTTAAATATGAGACACACAAAATGTCATAAAATATTGACACATGTTTTACATTATCCTCTATTTCACATCCAACAATTTAAATCTAGAAGAGGCAAGATTTAAAATGAAATGATTTAACTAAATATTATACTGTGTCACAGTCTGTGTGCTGATCAGTTTCATCAGCGTAAAACGTTTAACGAGCTGATGCAGCTAAAGGATAAATGAGCCCATCCGTAAGCCAATACAGAATAAATGGAGCTCCTGTGAATCACAGCAGGGGGGTTATCTTGTGAGGAACCACCCCCACACACAGCATACTTAATTCTACCCTCACCAGGACATGAGAAAACTGACATCTCCGAGCCAATCGAACGTGACTGTTGGGAGGTGTGCTCCTGAGACAGGTTCCCAACAAAGTGGCTGCCATTACAGAGGGAACAGAAGCATGTTTTGATGATTACATGATTCAAAGGAGAAGCTTACAGCTGACATGAATTGCTTTTACACCATCAAACCTGAAGTGCTGGAAATGGGATTTGACTTTTTCCTCCTATAAGGATGCAACAGCAGCACTGATTCACGAAGGAAGCAGAAACTGTAAACCCAGTGAGACGATAAAGCTGAGTTTGGGGAAATCTTAATGCCTGAGTACAGTTACAGTCTCTTTGTATTACCACATAAAAAGAAAAACTCATCCACTTTTAAACCTAATTATTTCTCTCCACCACAACCCTCTGTTCCATCAGGTTTTGCAGAAAATGCCAAGCAAAATTAAAGAAACTAGAAATAAGTCTTTGAAGTAAAGGCACAGGAATAAACAGTTTGAAACGCTTTGGGCTTTTCATATCATCAAAACCTCAACTTTGTCATTAAGCAGGCATAAAATGAACATCCAGCAAAACCTTCCACACGAGGACAAGATCCTCCTGCCAAGATAAGATCACCAAAAAAGCATCCAAATTTCTTCACATCTAAAACCCAGAGATTTCAGCTGAGAAGCAGTGAGCCCCAAGGTCAATTATGTGTGGATTCTGTGTAATGGAAAGAGTCAGTGATGTTTGCCAGCTCTTCTCTAGAATTAATGAGCACTTGACACTTCATATTTTCCAGCCGGGACTCCCAGACGTTATAATCAATACAATGAATTCATTAACTGTCCGCTTGAGTGATGCTCTGAAATCAGACTTTAAGAACCATTTAGCAAACATGAAATTATCGGAATGAAGTTAATCTCAGAAGAGCAAACTGTGCGTTTCTGTAGAAGTCAACATATTTCAGACTCCACTAGCTGCCTGATTAACTACAGATCACAAGAAAAACAGAAGGGCCAAAAGAGATGCTTTATAAAATAAAATAAAAAAATAGAAAATTAAAAACGGAAAGAAAAAAGTATTTTATTTTTCTTTTGCGTCTGTGAAATAATTTGTAAATACCTGTATTGGAAAAAGAAATAGGAAACTGGGCTTTAATAGTGTTGCTTTTGGACACTATCTTTCTACCTACCTACCTACCGGCCTTCTAACATGGGCAGCTGTGGCTGAGTGGTTAGAGCAGTAGTCCTCCAATATGAGAGTCGGGGGTTCGATTCCACCAGCAGTCACATGCCGAAGTGCCCCTTGGCAAGACACTGAACGCCTAAATGCCTCCAATGTGTGTCCCATCAGTGTATGAATGTGATAAAGCACTGACTATTCTTTTTATAAATCTAGTAGAGTGCTGTATGAATGGGTAAATGAGGGCACGTATTGTAAATGGTAAATGGACTGTACTTATATAGTGCCTTTCTATCTTATTTCAAGATACTCATGCTCTTTACCCTACAATCTGTGCCTCATTTATCCATTCATACAGCACTCTACTAGAGCTCTACAAAGCTAATTGAACAAATCATTCTAAATAGACTAATCAGAGCTTTATCACATTCATACACCAATGGGACACACATCAGAGGCAACTAGGGGTTCAGTGTCTTTCCCAGGGACACTTCGGCATGTGACTGCTGGTGGATTCGAACCCCCAACTCTTGCATTGGAGGATGACTGTTCTAACCACTCAGCCTCAGCCGCCCCGTGTAAAGCACTTTGAGTATCTTGATCAGATAGAAAAGCGCTGTATAAGTTCAGTCCATTTAACGTACACACTTACCTACCTACCTTCTAACGTACCTATCCATCCATCCATCCATCCATCCATCCATCCATCCATCCATCCATCTGCCCCATATTATTTCCAGTTCTTAAAATATATATAGTAACTTGGCGAAAAAGTAGCGATTGGAAATGGTTTTATCTCAATATGAAATTGAAATTCTATTTTATAAGAAAAGAGGAGGCATTTTTGCACTTAACAATTCTAAAAGACTGCCTATCCCGCTATGGAGTGCTTAAAACAGCCAACATGTTTGCTTTCACTATTTCTACAATTGCACAAAACTTTGCTAATTGTCAGTGCAAACACATCAAGTATGACTTCTACTTTGGCTAAATTAATATTTTAGAAGTACCAATTCTGGAGAAGCATTCAGTTTGTTCAGCCCATCAACAGATGTTTATGTGTAGATCTTTACCCTAAACAAAAATAGACAAAGCAACTACATTTACTTTAACTGTCTAAAAGTGAAATCAAAATGTCTGTTTTTTAGGGACTCCCATGTTACATTATGGAGCCAGAGCCTGCACATGGATGTCGGGTAGTCCTACAGATACAAAAGTTTCACCTACACAACTTCCAAACTTAATAACAGTCACATTGTCTAGCACAGTAACACAATACTTTTCAAGTCTCAAATGAATAATTAAATTAAATTAACGGAAACTCAGAGGAGATCAGGCTTTTTCAGTTGTGGGCCCTA